CAAGAAGACACTGGACTGCCATCTGTCAGAAATGTTGTAGGGTCTCCTGCTTGAGCAGAGGGGTTGGACTAGATGACCTACACTGCAGGGTCCCTTCCAAGTCTATTAATCTGTTAAGGTATGGATTGGATATGCTTTGGAATTGTGCTGTTGGAGAAGATTCTTGAGAGTCCCTTGGACTGCTAGAAGATCCAATCAGGGGAATCTTAGAGGAAATCAACCCGGGCTGTTTTATTGGAAGGAGAGATCCTTAAGCTGAAACTCAAACACTTTGGCCACTAAATAAGAAGTCAGGATTTCTTGGGAAAGACCCTGACATTGGGAAAGATGGAAGGCAAAAGGAGGAGGAGGACAGCAGAGGATGAGATGATTAGGTAGAGTCATCAATGCAATGAACATGAATGTGGGTAAATGCTGGGAGACAGTGCAGGACAGAAGGGGCCGGTGTCCATGGGGTCACGAAGAGTCGGACATGACTTAGCAAGTGAATCAACCACCACAATAACATGGATATATAATTAGTGGGTGCAACAGACTTGCTCAGACTAATTAGAAACATGATCACCCACTGTGATCCTTTGGCACCTAGGCAAAATAATTTCCAAGTTTGCCAAATATGGGATGGCATGATCTGAACATTGAGAAAATTGTTGAAGTAAGGATGATTAAATATTATGGGACCTTTGCTTATAAATTGATTGTCATCTATCTAGAGCAGGGGTCCCTGTGGTGGCCCACCAGTGGAGCTGGCAGCAGATTCAAACAATGAGGAGGTTGGGGAGGTACCTGGGTCAGTCCTGGAGTCTGGGGAAGGCTCTGATGAGGGCTCTGTGTTGGAGGCAGAGAGGGGGCCAGAGCCGTATGCCAGTTATCAGCTGCCTTCAGAGNAAGTTTACAAAACATTTAAGGCCCAAAAGATTGGGGCCAATGCAATTTCCACAGGAGGAAAATTAAAGTCACCCCTCCCCGGTACAAACATCCCCCTCAACCAGTGGTGGGTTCCATTTGGGTTTGGACCGGTTTGGCCGAACTGGTAGTAGTTTGGTGGCCTGGGCCACTGGAACCGGTAGCAACTCAGGCTTGCCACACCCCCAAACCGGTTCCCCGGTTGGCGCCATCGGCGGCGCCATCTTCTTGTTCCGCTCTGCACATGCACAGAACAATTTTAATTGCACATGTTAATGCAAAGCGCGAGCATGAGCGAATCGGCAGTAGTGCTGGTCGGAACCCACCCATGCCCCCGACCCAATAACTGCCTGTAGTTGGAGCATCTTCGCAACAGCTCCGCTTGTTTCGAAAACAAATCTAATCAATTGTTCTTTGAGGAATCTACCTGCCTCGGTGTTGCTATGGGTGTGTTACTTACAACCCTGTCATTTCATCCACGCAGAAGAACGTATTCACGAGAGGCAGAATTTTATATTCGTTTTTCTACGCGCAGCAATTGGCAGAATTAACTAAGAAATTCATTCAGGCCTGTGTGTTTTCAACTGTAGGAAGTTAAACCCCACCCCCTCTCCTAGAAAACTGAAATATCCTGGGAAATATTGAAAAGGCAGAATACTATATTTCCTTGGATCAGAAATGGAGACACATGTTTTTAGGCGGGAAATAGACCCACTCTTAATAGCCCCCCCACCTTTGACAATGGGCTATTAAAAAGCCCAGGTCAGTCTATTCTACATAACAAAGATCCCTTCCCTTAAGCTCCAGGGGGATGGGATTAAGGCATGATAGTATTAGCCCTTTACCCAACTCACCACATGGCATCTGGGAACTCAACCAAACTTGGACTCAAAACGCAACCTACAGAGTTACCCCCGCATGGTCCCATGGGAGTCTGACAACCAATCAGAATATATTTCTTACTCAGGAACAGGAGTATAAAAAGCCCAGCAAGTCCCCTTTTTCTCTCTCTTTTCTTCTTCACCCAATATCTGGAAGCGTATGATCCACCTTCTCTGTTCAGGACCTCAAACCACATGGTCCTGTCCAGTCCACCATTAAACCATCTTTCCAAGCAGCCTCCATGTTTCCAGTGTCTTTTTCCCCTCTTGGAGCTGAACCCAGATGGACATTTCTTCCAACACAACCTGATCAACTTTAAGACGGTGAAGTTCAATTCCTAGTTGCCCGGGGAATTCTGGGAGTTGAAGTCTACCCGGCTGAAAGTTACCAAGTTTGGAAAAAAACACTGATTTAGGCCATACTGCAAACATGGGGGAGGGAAGAATCTTAAATTTGACACCCAGGAATAGCACAAGCCAAGAAAGTCCTCCCTTTTTCAAATCTCCCTTCAAATCACTCAATTCTCTTCATCTCAGTCCCTCCCTCCCACACACAAATAAAGCCTGTGGGTGTGTTAATGAGTCTGGCCCACTACATATTATATTAATATCGTTACATAATGGGTGAAAACCATATTGAGCATTTGGTTTGTACTAAATTTATCATTTATCCTCGCAATATTACATTCTCTCGGCAATTGCAAATGGAATAATAGATATAATCAATTCCTGGCAAGTTAAAATGTAATAACTTGGCAATGAAAAAGCAGATAACACAATGTTTCAAGGTTGACTCAGCCTTCCATCCTTCCAAGGTGGGTGAAACGAGGACCCCGATTGTTGGGGGCAAGAGGCTGACTCTATAAACCGCTTAGAGAGGGCTGTAAAAACACTGTGAAGTGGTATATAAGTCTTAAGTGCTATTGTTATGGCTATTTTAGTTCAGGGTTTCATTCACTCTCAAGCCCTCTGCAATACAGGCGGTCCTCAACTTACAACCACATCTGAGCCCAAAAATTTTCTGTGGCTAAGCAAAATCGTGTTTAAGCGAGTTTTGTGCCATCTTGCGACCTTTCTCGCCCCAGCCGTTAAGTGAATTGCTGCAGTTGCAAAGTGAGTCACACGGCCGTTCAGCGAATCTCGCAGATCCAGTGACTTGGCTTGTCAGAAGGTTGCAGGAGGGGAACACGTGACACACACACACATCCCGCCGGGACACTTCAATCGTCGTAAATGCGAGTCGGTTGCCAAGCGTCTGAATTTTGACCCCATGAATGCTGCAAAAGTTCAGTATGAACTCCGGTTATAAGTCACTTTTTTCCAATGCAATTGCAATTTGGAACAGTCACTAAACGAAATGTTGTAAGTTGAGGACTAGCTCGTTTGTAACTCCTTTCCGGGAGGCTGTCAAAGATGGAGAGAATTCCTAGAGGGGCCATTCCAGCAGACAAGAATGTCAGAGGGGCTTCAGAACCCCCCCCCCCCGTCTCACTCCTCAAATTTGGGGCACTACCAGAGGTGGGTTCCTACCGATTCAGACCGGTTCAGCCGAGTAGGTAGTAACTCAGCCGGCCATGCCCCCGAACCGGTTCTATTGGTGCCACCGTAGGCACCGCCATCTTGTTTTTTTGCTCCTGCACATGCACAGAAGCAATTTTTTTTACTACGTGCATGCGCAGATTGCGCTCATCAAGCACACACGCGCCCGAAAGTGCGCCCCTGAGCGAACCGGCAGTAACAGAAGCTGGAACCCACCCCTGGGCACTACCACCCTTTCCCCCTAGGAAACTGGGGCCTTGCATATCTTGTGCCCCCAAACTTGGCGCAGCTAAAGCAACCCAAGCACTTTGAAGATGCCACATAATTTTGTCAGCGTGCAGGCCGCAAAAGAGGGCACCCAGCGCAGCAGACGGGCCTTCTCCAAAAGCTCTGGCAGCTGGTGTTGGCACCCTGAGTAAAGGAGCCTTTCCACCTTCGGCCTCTTCCTTTACAAAGACGGGCAAAAGGAAAAGGCAAGACCCAACTGGAAGTGACTGCATGACCCTGAAATGTTTTCGATCAAAGCTCAGAGTGACCTTCCTTTTCCTCCTTCCAGCAGCGGCCACAATGTGCCCCTGAGGGCAAAAGGCCCGTGTGGCTTCCTTTTGAAGCAGCTCCCAACGTCCAAAGTGGGAAACCCATCCGGGACCTTCAATGGACCCTCCAAAGAGAGAGGCAGTCTACCTCGGAATGCCGGAGAACGGAGCAAATGACAAGGGAAAGTCACCGCTTTCTCTTCTGTTCTGCTTGGCAAACTCCTTCCCAGCTACCTGGCTGCCAGCCACGGCGGCCGAGCGAGCAATGGAAGCTGTTTCGCTTGCAATCCAAGAAGGCAGCAGTGTTTTTTCTGGCTCGGGCAGCCTACCTGGACAACGCACCCTCCTGAAGGGGGGCATTTCCTCGTCCCAAGTGGCATCTCCCTTGAACCTCGGCCAACCGGTTAAGCTTTGGGGAGGGGAGGATGTGGGATGGGTGGGGAAGAGGGCCCTCTTTGGGATCCATACGGAGCGTCCCCTCCCTGCCAGACAGACAGACAGACACTGCCAATTGCAAAACAGACTCTTCGACTACACGCCCTTGGCCAGCCTTCCCATCGCTGGATGGCGAGAGCAGAAATGTTGCGCACCCCTCGCTCACAACAGGGAGAATGGACAACCCCTCAGAGCGCACACACACACACACACACACAATCACACACACACACACACGCATACGTGCACAGATTCGATAGCACAACCAACCCAACAAGAGGAAGAGACAACGCTCCTTGTCTAGTTGTGGGTCTTCAAAACCGCAATGTGGGCCGTTAAAAATAGAAAACGACAGTCTGTGTTTCACTCACACACACACACACACACACACACACACGGTGGATCGACACCCCCTCCCTAATTTATTCTCTGCCCTCCCTTTCCCCTCTGGGTCCTTGTCATGTCACATCCAAGAGACCCGGGTCTCTTTTTAATATGCTGCTCAGGTGGGCACCGGCTGGCATCGGGATGGGAGAGGGGGAAGGTTAGGGGGGGCCGCAAGGCTGGAAAAGCAGACCTTTTCCATTCTGCATCGGTTTTCTCTCTCCCTCCCTCCCCATCCTGCTGCATTGGCTCCAACCTGCAAAAGCTCCCCCCCTCCCTCCCCAAATATATATATATCGAAAGGCAGTGAGGGTCTTACCTCATCCCCGAAGAAGGTGGACTGGAGAAAGGAGAGGACCCACAGCAGTCCCATTTAGCCCCCCGCATCCTTCTCCTGCCTCTCTGCCTGTCTCGCTGAGATGGGCTTGGCTTTCAGGGGAGGGAGAGAAGCATTGCAGCGCAGGTCTGGGGGCGCCAGGGGGCAGTGGGGAGCAGCTGGCGGGTTGCTGGGGGGGTGGGAGGAGGAGGAAGAGATGCAACATTGGCAGTGGCTTAAGGCTTAGCTGGGCCAATCTGATGGGAGAGAAAGGAGCTGACATAATCTTTTACTCTTTGAGGGTGTGCCTGGTCTTCTTGGGGGGGGGGGGAGGTTTGTGTCAGGAACCCCAGAAAAGCGGATAGTTGGAGATCTTTATTGACAATAAAAGAGCCAGGAGCGGAGTATTTTAAACACAGCATCCTCCACACAAGCACACACACACACACACACACACACACACACACACACACACCCCTAGAGCAGTGTTTCTCAACCTTGTCAACTTGAAGATGTCTGGACTTCAACTCCCAGAATTCTGGGAGTTGAAGTCCAGACATCTTCAAGTTGACAAGGTTGAGAAACACTGCCCTAGAGGTACCCATCTGGGGCTGTGCTTGGGGGCTTATAGGCAGTGGGGTGCAGTGGCATTTCAAGGTAGCACTCCAGTTATGAATTTACTGTCTTTTGCTTTCTGGGCTTTTAAATTAAATAAACAAACAAATAAACCTGTTCAGGGGTCTGAGTGTCTTTTAGACAGCTTGTGATTCAATTTAAAAAAAAAAGATTTTATGTGGGCATTTTTAAAGTGTTTTTTTTCCCCAATGGCATCTTCTTCTCTCCCTCTCACCCTCCCTCCTTCTCCCTCTCTTCCCTTCCCTCTTTCCTTCCTCTCCTCCTCCCTGCGTTGCAGCAGCTCGTAGCCTTTTACCATATATCATTTATAAGAATGGGACATGAGACCACGAAGGTAAAAGAGATACAGGTTTATTGATGCATCAAGTTCTCACCTGCTTCTCCCTCTCCTTCTCCTTCCTTCCTTTCCTTCTTTCTCTCTCTCCCTCCCTTTTCTCCTTCCTTCCTTCCTGTCTTCCTTCCTTCTTTCCTCTCCACCCTGCTTCTCCCTCTGCTTCTCCTTCCTTTCCTTCTTTCTCTCTCCCTTTTCCCCTTCTTTCCTTCTTCCCTCCCTCCTTCTCCCTCTCTCTCCTTCCTTCATCTTCCCCTCCTTCCTTCTCCCTCTCCTTCTCCTTCCTTCCTTTCCTTCCTTCTTCTCCCCCTTCCTCCTTTTCCCTCTCCTTCCTTCCTTTTCCTCTTTCTCTCTCCCTCCCTCCCTTTTCTCTTTCCTTCCTTCTTTCTTCTCCCCCTCCCTCCTTCTCCCTCTCCTTCTATTTCTTTCTTTTCCTTCTTTCTCTCTTTCCCTCTCTTTTTCCCTTCCTCCCTTCTTCTCCCTCTCCTTCCTGTCTTCCTCTCCCCCTCCCTCCTTCTCCCTCTCCTTCTCCTTCCTTCTTTTCTTCCTTCCTTTCCTTCCTCCTCTCTCTCCCTCCCTTTTCTCCTTCCTTCCTCTCTCCTTCTCCTTCCTTCCTTTCCTTCTTTCTCTCTCTCCCTCCCTTTTCTCCTTCCATCCTTCTTTCCTCTCCCCCTTGCTGCTTCTCCCTCTCCTTCTCCTTCCTTCCTTTCCTTCTTTCTCTCTCCCCCTCCCTTTTCCCCTTCCTTCCTCTCCCCCTCCCTCCTTTCCCTCACCTTCCTCTCCCCCTCCCTTTTCTCCTTCCTTCCTTCCTTTTTTTCTCTTTCTTTGCAAGCTAATGAGAGGGAAAGAAGATTGGGTGCTGGGACTTTTACTTTTTATAACTTGCCTTGAGGGTTTGTATAACCTGAACCCTGGACTATAAACTCATCCATAAGTACATGATCTCTGAATTCTAGGCTGACTACAGATGGTGGATATTAGGAATCAAATGGAGCTACCCAGATAACCTGATTCAGACCTTTGCATCACAGGCTGCTTTAAATCCCCCCTTTCTTTCCTCCCCCCACCTCCACCCTTCCCCTCCCTTTCCTGGTCTCATCTGTGCCTAACTGCTGCAAACTGGAATCTCTGCCCTGAGCTTTATTTATATCAAAATATACCCCAGAAGGACAGCACTTCCTGTTCCTTTCTTTCTTGCTGCCCTTGACGAGAGGAATGATCTCAACAGGCACCCATTTGTTCAGGAGATCTGGATCATCCCTCCCCTCCAAAAAATCTGACATCCATAGAACAGATCTGGAGATTTTACCTGTAGTAGGTGAGTGTGCTGGAAATGCAGTCTGGGATTGCATGGTTTGGGATTTGGCTGAAGCTTGCAGGCTTACTTTTTGGCAGGGATCTGAAATCCATGTCAATCCTGCTTTGGTGGTCCAGGAAGAGGAATAAAACCAAGAATCCTGGTGACATAATTTGCCTAGGAGACTCCTCACTTCAGTTTAACAGATTAATAGAATTGGAAGGGACCTTGTAGGTCATCTAGTCCAGTGGTTCTTAACCTTTTTGAAAGAATCGCCCCCTTGAGCCACTGAGGAAGTTATCATCCCCCTCTTCCCCCAACATAACCTCTCACTCACAACACACACAAAATCATTCTTCAATTTATGCTAACACATTTTTCGTTTTCTTTAAAATCGTTATCAAGACATATCGATGCAAATAATTTATTTCAAGTCTTTTTCCCATATTTCAACTGTGTGAAAAGTTCAGATGCCACCCATCACTTTACTCCCAAACTTTGTGATATTATCATCTTATTTATTCAAGACACTTAAATGCAATGACCACTGAAAACAAAATTCAATTGCAAGAAAATGAAATGCCGGGGAAAAAAACAGTAACATTTAATGATTTAATTGCAAGTGAATTTTGAGACGCCAAAAGAAATATAAAAAGGGCATAAGAACAAAGTTTGGGNAGAGGGAGAGGGAGAGGGAGAGGGAGGGAGAGGGAGAGAAAGAGAGGGAGGGAGGGAGGGAAGGAGAGAGAGGGAGGGAAGGAGGGAGAGAGAGAGAGAGACAGAGGAGAGAGAGAGTTAGAGGCTCCAGGTAGGCATTGTTTCTTTGGTCGGCTTTAAGAGACCTTTCTGCAGACGTTGCCTACAGAGTGGGAGCCAATAGGGAAGGAAGGATACTTTAGGAAAATTCCCTCAGTCTCTGGACCAATCAGGCTGTAAACCCAGCTGTAGCCCCTCCTGCCATATCTACATAAAAGAAACGGTCAGGTAAGGAGCAACGTTCTTTCCAACTCATCTGGATGATGCCAAGATGGCACAGGATAGGTTCCTACGTCACCCTTAATATAATTATGACTGCATTTGACTAAAAGTTCAATTTATCCATTGAAGATTTTTCAATTTTTTTTCTTCCCTTCCCATATTAATTTTTGGGAAGCTGGGCTTTGCACATTTGGCAGGATTCAAATATTCTTTTTTTAGCATACTACAGGGCCGTCCCTGCAGCATGAGTATAAGCCCTTCTCTGGCATTAGGCCAAATTGTCAGCTTTTTGCATGTTATGGAGGTCATTATTATTTTTTGTCTTTGTCCACTATCTATTACATTCCCCCCCCCCCCCTTAGGCTCAAATCATTCATGAATCCAGCCAGCGTATTTTCCACGCAGACCTTCAAATGTGCAATTGAAATATTGAATAGCATTGGATGTCTGCAAAGCCTCCTTCCGTTGTGTTACACGACTTTTGTTCAAAGTTGTTTGCTTGTCGCTTTATATCCCTTTCACGTGAAAACCTTGCTGCCTGACATAGATTTTTCAATGAGTTTGTTATTAGAGCTTTTGTATGCTAGTTACAGTTGAGGAGGGACACTGTGGCTCAGTGGCTAAGACACTGAATTTGTTGATCAGAAAGGTCGGCAGTTCAGTGGTTCAAATCCCTAGCGCCACGGAACAGAGTGAGCTCCCGTTACTTGTCTCAGCTTCTGCCAACCTAGCAGTTCGAAAGAATGTAAAAATGCAAGCTAAAAAATAGAAACCACCTTTTGTGGGAAGGTAACAGCATTCCGTGCATCTTTGGCTTTTAGTCACAGAGGCCACATGACCACGGAGACATCTTCGGACAACGCTGGCTCTTTGGCTTTGAAACAGAGATGAGCAATGCCCCCTAGAGTCGGGAAAGATTAGCACGTATGTGTGAGGGAACCTTTACTTTTACCTTACAGTTCAGAAGTGCTGTGACCGAAGTGTTGGTGTACTCTAGACTGAGAGTCAATCTTATTTTATACCTGGGATGGTGAACCTATGGCACGTGTGCCACAGGTGGCATGCAGAGCCATTTGTCGGCATGCGAGGAGCTGCCTTGTCAGCTGGCCAGCACACATGCACGCAATGGCCAGCTGAGTTCACCCTTTTTTAAAGCCATTTTTTCATCCTCCCCAGACTCCAGAGGCTTTATAGGAGCCTGGGGAGGGCGAAAAGAGCCCCCCCCCCGAGGCCCTCCGGAGGCTTCATGAGCTTCCCTGAAACCTCTGGAGCGCAAGAAAAACCAGCCCTATGGGCAAACCAGAAGTTCAGGAACGGACTTCCAGTTTGCTCGTAGGGTCTTTTTTTGCCCTCCGGAGTCTTCAGGGAAGCCTCCTGAAAGTCCCTGAAGTCTCCAGAGGGCCTCCGGGGGTGTGTGTGAGGTTCTTTCTGCCCTCCCCAGGCTCCTATAAAGCCCGCGCACGACCCCCCCCTGCGCTCCCCCCCCACTTATGGCACGCGAGCCAAAAAAGATTTGCCATCGTTGTACAGTAATCTAAAAGTAGTACTCCTTCTCTGCCAGCTGTGTCCCTCTGGATTCTACAAATGTCCAACAAATTAAACTTTGCACAAAAAAATTAAGGGACACATCAGGATTTAGAAACAGGACAAAAATAATGTCAGAGCATTTTAACTTCCCACGATATTTGCATTGCAGATCCTAAAGTAGTAAAGACAAACAAGCTTTACCAGCACAGTTGAATGAGAAATTAAACTCAGGTACATCAAAAAGCTTTGGACCATCTCCCCAAGCACAATGGGTTTTTAACATAAGATACTCCTTGACTTACGACCAAAATGGAGCTCAA